CCTTACAAACAAGTACAGTAGGTTTCTCCAAATAATACTATACTGATTGGAGAAAATGCATATGTGTAGACAGTAAAAATGGAAACAACAGGAGACAAGAGAGAAAAAAATACGATTAGTTCAATGAGTAAGTTTGGAAAATGTGTAGGCGAGAATTTAAATCGTAGGCCTTTTCAACGTTATGTGAAATCGAAGCACAATCTTATATAAAAAGGTAATTCGAGAAAAGCAATCACTTTCAACGCCAATAACTGTAGGGCAGCTGTAGATTTAAGGATTAATCTAAATACTAATCCTTATAGCATTAGTCTAGAATAAAATTTGATCTAACATATGATCTTATCAACTTGGTATTCATATACTGTTAGGCTCTGTTATATCCTACTTTTAGTTTAATATCTTCAGTAAATACTATCTCGTCTATAAAAATGGAAGTGTGCTGATATAATATGTTTGGCTACCTTTCTTGTACAAGACGCATTGAGGTGGAGATCTTACCCTCTTAGTGAAAAGAATCCAAGTAGTTGAGCTGCATTACTTTCAAAGAAATTAAAAGATATTGAAACACATCAGCTGAAATGAAAGCGCCCATCCTTTGTGAAAAAAATTCGAACCAGTAAACTATTTGGAGGGCATTTTTGATAAAACCAAAGTAGCATAAGTAATACAAAAGTTAGTGAATAAAAGATAATAAAACCAAAATTGATGAAGTAATGGAAAATAAAATATTAGACGATGGATAATGGGAGAAGAAAACGAAATTATAAGTGGATTGAAAGTAATTTAGTAAGTAAAATCAGGAAACCAACCTTGACGACAACGCGATTTCGCGATTTCCTTATCGGCTTTATCCGACGCAAATCATCAGATCGTACCCCAGCAACCTGATCTACCAATACTTGATTGTCTGCAGCACCAGGTAAACAAAACTCAGACTTCTGCACAAAATCTGACCCATTGGGCACAAGTGAATGTGTGTCAAACTCCCTTGATTCAGAGCCCTGTCCCTCGGTCTCTTGATCGTCCTCATAGACCATTACCACCCTACCTCCTTCACCCATTACCGCGGTCTCAGCCTCGCCTTCACGGGCCATTAAGTGAGCATAATCAGCTTGCGCTACACAAGCAAATTGGCAATCTTCAGTTACGGTACGCATTTCACCCCGATGAAATTGTGGTTCGTCGGGTCCCAGGCTGGCGCGTACTCCAAATGCGTCGCCACGTGTCAATTCTCGCACGGTGCCGTCTGTATCAGTAACCTTGCATGGGATAGAAAATCGTAAAATTCAAGATAATCAAATTCCGAAATCGATCTTCAAAGTTTCATAAAATTAGTTTAATTGGTTAGGGTTAAGCTAGTAAATGATAGTGAAGCCTAGCATCGTGGTAAAATTCACTAGTCGACCTGGAGTGCCAAAATCTGTTATGCTGTCTATTTATAGAATTGGTTGATTTCTATCCCAAAATATAATTAAGTTAAATCATTTTCAAGCATAACTGATAACCTCGGGGAAATGACATCTAGCCTTACCAGCATCTTTCACGATATGCAAATAAGGTTACAATTATCATGATATGAAGGGAGCAGTAAATATACCTGCCAGCATTTCAAAATAACAAATCTATCACTTGATTGAAATTTATATTATACTACCATTATATTGAAATTGTTTGACCTTGTCTTCACAACTTGGTCATATTGGTAGGAAGGCTTAGAGGAACGCAACTAGTC